TGGTGACAGGTGATGAAGACAATGATTAATACACATGAAGAGATGAAGGGGGATTCACAGCAATTTTATAAGCAGATGGTCAAGATCCAGCTCCATATGTTGAAATAGACTGGCAAAAAATGATTATTTAGGGTTTAGCCTTTAGAGATGGAATGAGGACTATATTTTAATTAAGCAAAATACTGGGTAAAAAATATTTTCCAAGCTGATTGAGAAGATCATATATTTTGAATTTTGTGTAATGGCATGGACTGAGGACTATATTAAGCAATAACACTTGGATATTTTTGGTCAATGAAGTTTAGTGACCAACTAGTATTTGTGAGCGAGCGAGCGAGAACAAAACTGTATTTGATTGAGAGAGATAAAGAACCAACCTATATTTGTGAGCGAGTAAGGGAGAACAAACCTGTGTTTGATTGAGAAAGATGAATAACCAACTTGTATTTGCGAGCGAGCAAGAGAGGACATAATTGAACGTAGTCGAGGAGAGCAACGGGGGAGAGAGAAAAATGTAAGACAGAACAATTGAGCACATAAAAAACAACGTAGGAGAGAGAGATGAAGAACTAACATGTATTTGCTAGCGAACGAGAGAGGACAGAATTGAACAAAACCGAGGAGAGCACTGGGGAGAGAGAAAGTATCTGAGGAGAGAAAACTGTGAGACAGAACTACTGAGTACAAAGAAAATAACGTAGCACAGAGAAAAATGTATGACAGAACAATTGAGCAGAAAAAAAACAACGTAGCAGAGAGAGATGAAGAACTAACATGTATTTGCTAGCGAGCGAGAGATGATATAATTGAACAGAGCCGAGGAGAGCAATGGGGAGAGAGAAAGTAGAAGATGAGAGAAAAATGTGAGACAAAAGAATTGAATAGAAAGAAAATAACGTAGCAGAGAGAGATATGAAGAACCAACAATAATAGCTCAAGATTCAAGGAGAAGTCCATCCAAATGGAAGAGCTAAAGAGTGCAAGAGCTCAAGATTCTATGTTGATGCAAGAGGTAGTTTTCTTTCTTCTTCTTTTTTTTTAATATTTTATTTTTGGTGAGACTTTTTTTATTTTTTATTTTTGGTGACAGGTGATGAAGACAATGATTAATACACATGAAGAGATGAAGGGGGATTCACAGCAATTTTATAAGCAGATGGTCAAGATCCAGCTCCATATGTTGAAGTAAACTGGCAAAAAATGATTATTTAGGGTTTAGCCTTTAGAGATGGAATGAGGACTATATTTTAATTAAGCAAAATACTGGGTAAACAATATTTTCCAAGCTGATTGAGAAGATCATATATTTTGAATTTTGTGTAATGGCATGGACTGAGGACTATATTTTAATAAGCAATAGCACTTGGATATTTTAGGTCGATGAAGTTTAGTGACCAACCAGTATTTGCGAGCGAGCGAGCGAGAACAAACCTGTATTTGATTGAGAGAGATAAAGAACCAACCTATATTTGTGAGCGAGCAAGGGAGAACAAACCTGTGTTTGATTGAGAAAGATGAATAACCAACTTGTATTTGCGAGCGAGCAAGAGAGGACATAATTGAACGTAGTCGAGGAGAGCAACGGGGGAGAGAGAAAAATGTAAGACAGAACAATTGAGCACATAAAAAACAACGTAGGAGAGAGAGATGAAGAACTAACATGTATTTGCTAGCGAACGAGAGAGGACAGAATTGAACAAAACCGAGGAGAGCACTGGGGAGAGAGAAAGTATCTGAGGAGAGAAAACTGTGAGACAAAACTACTGAGTACAAAGAAAATAACGTAGCACAGAGAAAAATGTATGACAGAACAATTGAGCAGAAAAAAAACAACGTAGCAGAGAGAGATGAAGAACTAACATGTATTTGCTAGCGAGCGAGAGATGATATAATTGAACAGAGCTGAGGAGAGCAATGGGGAGAGAGAAAGTAGAAGATGAGAGAAAAATGTGAGACAAAAGAATTGAATAGAAAGAAAATAACGTAGCAGAGAGAGATATGAAGAACCAACAATAATAGCTCAAGATTCAAGGAGAAGTCCATCCAAATGGAAGAGCTAAAGAGTGCAAGAGCTCAAGATTCTATGTTGATGCAAGAGGTAGTTTTCTTTCTTCTTCTTTTTTTTTAATATTTTATTTTTGGTGAGACTTTTTTTATTTTTTATTTTTGGTGACAGGTGATGGAGACAATGATTAATACACATGAAGAGATGAAGGGGGATTCACAGCAATTTTATAAGCAGATGGTCAAGATCCAGCTCCATATGTTGAAGTAAACTGGCAAAAAATGATTATTTAGGGTTTAGCCTTTAGAGATGGAATGAGGACTATATTTTAATTAAGCAAAATACTGGGTAAAAAATATTTTCCAAGCTGATTGAGAAGATCATATATTTTGAATTTTGTGTAATGGCATGGACTGAGGACTATATTTTAATTAAGCAATAGTACTTGGATATTTTAGGTCGATGAAGTTTAGTGACCAACCAGTATTTGCGAGCGAGCGAGCGAGAACAAACCTGTATTTGATTGAGAGAGATGAAGAACCAATATGAAGCCATTGTGCTGGAGAAGCGAGTTAAGAAGTTGGAGGAGAAACTAAATGAGAGGGCTCAAGATGCTCTGGAGATACAAGCGGTGGGTGGGAGCTTTTTCGCTTTTTATTTTTTTAAAATTTTTAAATTTTCTTTTTCTTGAGACTTTATTTTTCATGCAGTTGAAGGAGATAGTGATTAGGGTGGGAGAGATGAAGGAGAACCTTAATCGCCTGGATAAGTTCGTGAGCAAGATGCAGGGCAAAAAATAGTAGCTATAGGGTTTAGGCTTAGGATGGACTCATGAGGAAGATCTCCTATGTTTTTATTTTTTTGTAATGCCAGACTTACGACTATATGTTAATTGGATATGTTGATTTGGTGGTGATCAGACTTATTTTGTAATGAAACAATGTTTGTTTTTTTATTCCTTTTCTTCCCTGCTTCTGAAGAAAGATGAAGAAGTAACATGTATTTGCTAGCGAGCGAGAGATGACATAATTGAACATAGCCGAGGAGAGCAATGGGGAGAGAGAAAGTAGAAGATGAGAGAAAAATGTGAGACAAAAGAATTGAGTAGAAAGAAAATAACGTAGTAGAGAGAGATATGATGAACCAACAGTAATAGCTCAAGATTCAAGGAGAAGTCCATCCAAATGGAAGAGCTAAAGAGTGCAAGAGCTCAAGATTCTATGTTGATGCAAGAGGTAGTTTTCTTTCCTTATTTTTTCTTTTATATTTTATTTTTGGTGAGACCTTTTTTTTTTTTTTTTTTTTTTGTGACAGGTGATGGAGACAATGATTAATACACATGAAGAGATGAAGGGGGATTCACAGCAATTTTATAAGCAGATGGTCAAGATCCAGCTCCATATGTTGAAGCAGACTGGCAAAAAATGATGTATTTAGGGTTTAGCGTTTAGAGATGGACTGGGGACTATATTTTAATTAAGCAAAATACTGGGTAAAAAATATTTTCCAAGCTGATTGAGAAGGTTATATATTTTGAATTTTGTGTAATGGCATGGACTGAGGACTATATTTTAATTAAGCAATAGCACATGGATATTTTAGGTCGATGAAGTTTAGTGACCAACCAGTATTTGCGAGCGAGCGAGCGAGAACAAACCTGTATTTGATTGAGAGAGATGAAGAACCAACCTATATTTGCGAGCGAGCGAGGAAGAACAAACATGTGTTTGATTAAGAGAGATGAAGAGCCAACCTGTATTTGCGAGTGAGCAAGAGAGGACAGAATTGAACGTAGCCGAGGAGAGCAATGGGGGAGCGAGAAAAATGTAAGACAAAACAATTGAGCAGAAAAAAAAACAACGTAGGAGAGAGAGAGATGAAGAACCAACATGTATTTGCTAGCGTGCGAGAGAGGACAAAATTGAACATAATCGAGGAGAGCACTGGAGAGAGAGAGAGAGAGAGAGAGAGAGAGTAGCTGAAGAGAGTAAAATGTGAGACAGAAGAACTGAGTAGAAAGAAAATAACGTAGCACAGAGAAAAATGTAAGACAGAACAATTGAGCAAAAAAAAAAGAACGTAGCAGAGAGAGATGAAGAACTAACATGTATTTGCTAGCGAGCAAGATATGACATAATTGAACAGAGCCGAGGAGAGCAATAGGGAGAGAGAAAGTAGAAGATGAGAGAAAAATGCGAGACAAAAGAATTAAGTAGAAAGAAAATAACATAGCAGAGAGAGATATGAAGAACCAACAGTAATAGCTCAAGAGTCAAGGAGAAGTCCATCCAAATGGAAGAGCTAAATAGTGCAAGAGCTCAAGATTCTATGCTGATGCAAGAGGTAGTTTTCTTTCTTTCTTTTATATTTTATTTTTTATGACACTTTTTTTTTTTTTTTTGTGACAGGTGATGGAGACAATGATTAATACGCATGAAGAGAGTGGGGTGTATTTAAGGGTAGGATGGGAAGATAGTGGGGTTTTCTTAGAAATTGTGAAAATTTAAATTAAAAGTTGAGGTGAACTTAGAACATGGGGTGAACTAAGAGAAGTGTGGGGTTTAAATAGAAAATCCCTTCTTGAATTCCATTGCTCAAAGTCTAAAAATATTTTGGAATAAATACTTACTAAAAAAAAACCAATGCTTAGTTGATAAAACAATGAGTATACTAGTGTTAATGATTAATGTGTGTAGAGCACACTTTAGATTTTCACCCTGGGCCTTTGAAAACTCAGGACCGGCCTTGGTTGCGGTCTCAATCAAAAACAATTAAATGCATAAACAAGTTTTCTACTAGGGTAGTTGAGGTCTCAAAGAAAAACAATTAAATAAATAATAGAACTTGTATACGTGGTCAACGGTGAGTGGTAGTGGAAGAAAGACTTGGTTGAAACCAATGTAGTTTCTTCCATGACCCTTTCGTTGGGTTATTGAGACCCCCCAAAGTCTCTTCTTTGGAGTTTTCAATACGTCCCCTTAAGGCTAAACAAATGACCGAGAGAATACATATTACATATAAAGCTGTATTAATTGGTTGCTCACTTAGTTTCTAGCTCCTCTTCTTTCATTGCAATGTCTACACCAGCGGAGTAAGCAACCTCTCTCTCTCTCTCTCTCTCTCTCTCTCTCTCTCTCTCTCTCTCTCTCTTCTAGAATTCAAATCATCTTTCTAATCAATTTGGTTTTGGATGATCTTATCATAGGAATCAAAGAACAACATGGTTGAAAGTTTTGATTAACTTGTTTATTTACTTTATCATACAACTGTAATAAGCATTAAAAACCACTATACCAATAAATTAAGGATTTGATCAACATTCTCCCAGTCAATAATAAATAAAACAATATGCTAAATTATGCTTTTCCTAATTCACTTTGCCAAATTATGTCATAAATTACAATCATTTTTATCCTTTCATGGATGCATGTAAGTTTTTTTAATTTTCCATGGAAATTAAAGAGCCTCGTCTCTGCGCCTATGAATTTACAGATACTATCGATCGCTGCCACCAGTGAGCAAGACCTATGGAGTTGCCTGCTTTATGACTGCAGCTGCCTTGTACTTGCAACTTTATAATCCATGGAACATTGCGCTTGATTATGGCCTCGTCATAAAACGTTTCCAGGTAAAATTAAAATCTCAAAAATCTTCTCTAAGTATTGATTATTCAAGGCCGAATTTCTTCTTTCTTCATGCAAATTGTTGTGCTTCTGATCATGCTTTGTGCTTTTCTTTTTCTTTTACTAATGATGATTAATGAAGGTTTGGAGGCTTATTACCAGTTTCTTCTTCCTGGGGCCCTTTTCATTCCCGTTTGCTTTTCGTCTTATAATAATGTGAGAAACATATATATATATATATGACTTTTCCATGGCATTAAGATAACATCATTAATTTGAATGATACAATAACTTGTCGCATTATCCATGCCCTATTTGTTTCCAATTTGCCTAGAGCAAGATATGGTGTGGGATTGGAGAGAGGACCGTTTGACAAGAGAACGGCAGACTATGTTTGGATGTTGGTATTTGGTGCCATTTCACTTCTGGTAAGCAAAACTATTTAATTTACTATTTCTTTCTCTCTGATTCTAATTGGACCAACATTGCCAAAGCATTCTATATATCTATTTTATTCCCAAACCTTGCTGTGCCGGCCTGCACTACTATTTTTATTTCTTTTTATTTTTTTTATTTTTTTGGGGTTCCGTAGACATTCACATTCATGTTGCAAATTATTAAAATAATGACACATGTATATATATATATACATGGATTATTTATAGGTGATGGCTGTTGTTCCATATTTGTTGTCTCCGTTTATGGGACCTTCTGTGGTTTTCATGATCGTGTATGTATGGTCCCGTGAGTTCCCAAATGCACGTATCAACATATATGGGCTTGTGTCCTTGAAGGTGCTCTCTCTCTCTCTCTCTCTCTTCAATTTTAAGTTTAGCAATCTCATTTTGGAAATCATATAACACATGTTGTGGGGTACATACAGGGATTTTATCTGCCTTGGGCACTGCTGGGTCTGGATTTGATTTTTGGAGATCCTTTGAAGCCAGACATTCTAGGGATGGTTGCAGGACATCTCTATTACTTTCTAACCGTACTTCATCCTCTTGCTGGTGGAAAATTAATGCTCAAGACTCCTCTCTGGGTGTATCCTTTTATGGATCAACAATATTTGATTTCATTAGTAATGAAGATTCAGTGGACATTAATAAATATTTATGCATAATTGTAGACCTTAATGATGAATAATTTGCAGGCACAAATTGGTATCCTTCTGGGGTGAGGGAACCCAAATCAATTCCCCGGTGGAACGCAATCCTCACGCCGGAGTTGCGTTCCGGGGAAGAAGCTTCCGACTCAATGGTCGAACAACCACTCCACAACAATCAACTCAGGAACCTTTTAATAATCAGCAGCAGGCAGCAGCTGGTGGAGTTGCATTCCGTGGAAGAAGCCAGCGCCTCAACGGTCGTTAATTACCTAATCATCTAGCCAGCGCCTACTCGCATATGATAAATCATGTATTTTCTAATCAACGTTGTGTACGTACATTTGCACATACGAACCCTTTTCTATTCGGTATACATGCATGGTTACAATTTACAAACAAAGCTATGTTCAAAAGACTGGGGGCATGTGAAATCCGAATGCGTTGACCCACGACGACAAGAACTACCAACAAAAATGAAACAAATGGAAAATGACTATTCCTATGTTGGCCATAGCGAAGCTAATCGACGACATGCATTGAAAAGGTTGAACTACCAAGTCAACTTGTCCACATTGACTTAATAAATGTTGTTGTCCCTTTTTCAACTCTACTGTATACGCGACTTTATGAATCATATGATGTGAGGTTGAAATCCTTTTCTTTAATAAGAACGCGTTTATTTGATTTAGGCATTGCAGAGTCCATTGTACTTGTAGGTCCTCGTCATCAATGTGTTTCAAGTTTTTCTTTATTTGGTCACATGAGATGTTCGTGTTAGTGTTTGGTTGTTAACATTTTATTTGTACATAATTTTGCTCTAATTTCTGTGACAGTTTTATTATTAATACCCTTCCTTTTTATGAAAAACAAGAAAGGAAAATTGACAGCCCTATATATATATTAACAGCTCATCAGCTATCAAATTAGATTCATGGTAACTTAGATATGTCTTGAAAATACTATCAAAGACGTACGTTAAGAGGACGTATTTTCTATTTAAATTTGTAATAATGATCAAAACTTAAGAATCACCTTCCATAATTAAAAAAAAAAAAGATATTGTAGATTTAAGTTTGACTATTAATACTTTTAAGAGAACTAGAAAGAAAAAAAGCAGAAGCAAAGTGAACCCCTGTCATAGGAACCTTTGAGATAAAAGTCATCTTCTTGAAAACATGGGGTGAAAATATAAATATGTCATCTTCTTGAAAACTATAACCACTCTGGGATTACAAAGTATCTTTGAAATCTCGTCCACATTAATCTATAGGACATATGGAAATGAAGTCAAGTTTCTATGAGGCAGGCAGCCAATCAGTCAAGTCAAACTATAAGGAAGTGAAGTAATCTTCTTTGCAATTTTGGCATTGCCTATCTAATTCCCTCGTGTTTTTTATATAGCCCAACAACCAATGTCCCAAACCAAAATCAGGAGAAGATTCGTGGTAGTTTACACCATAATCCCAACTTAGCAAACCCAAAATAAAAATAAAAAATAATAATATATAATCAAAGATTGCAACTTTGTTTCTTGCTGAGATAAATTAGAGTTCAAAAGAACTGTAAAAAATAAAAATTAACTGATGTGTTAAACGTGCCACATAAATATTTAACAACTAAATATGTCAAAGCTGATGTGGAATGAAGATTGAAAGTTGAGATGTTATTTTTGACATCCTAAAAGCAAGATGTCAAATGAATATTGTATTATTTTTTTCTTTTCTTTTTTTTTTTTAATTAAAAACGAATCAACACTAAAATGTAATAAAATAATAATTTAATTTGACATATTGAGTGGAGTGTAGAGCTGTGTAAGAGCATCTCCAACCGATGTGTCAAAAGTGCCACATAGACATTTAACGGTTAGAAATAACATCTCACATCACTCCAACCGATGTGTCAAAGCTGATATGGAATGAAGGCTGGAGGTTGAGATGTTATTTTTGACATCCCAAAAGCAAGATGTCAAATGAATATTTTATTATTTTTAAAGATAGTTGGTTGTTACTTTCATTTATTATTTTCGTTTTTATATTTTTTTTTCTTCTTTATCTTAAATGATTTGACTGTTACAATAATTATTTATTTGATATATCGGGTGGAGTGTAAAACTATGAAGATACCAAATTGCCACATCAGCCATCAAATTTAAATTTGATGTTTGGTATTTAACACCTTCTTTGAATATGCTATGCTCCTCATTTAAATTAAAATTTGTAAATTAATGCAACTGATTGAGCTGTAGATAAAAAATCAAGTTGCAGTCTCGTTGAAAACGAACAGAGATTGAAAAGTCATACCAGAGACTGAACAAATTGTTCTCTTTAATGTAGTTAATCAAGTTGCAAGTTGTTGATTTTAATCCCCAGAAGAACCCAAAAAGAAAACTGACGTAGCTTTCAGACACAGGGCAATGCCTCACGGAAAAGTTGGCTCTTAATTTTTAAGAGGCAAAATAAGCTTTGGTGGCAGCTAAACTATTCCAACTCTGGAAATGGTGGTTGAATGTTCAAAATGGTTTTGCAGAGGGAGATATTTATGAATTTTTGTTCTCTTCTCAAGAGGATTTGAAGAAGAGCTCAAAGTTTGAGTCTTGACCCTTAAAAAACTGGTACGTTCTTATCTTCTTGTTGTGTTGTGTGGTTTTTCTTGTAAGTTGGCGTCTGTGTACTTTCTGGGTTTTTGAAATTTGTGAGCCTGTTTTTGGTTTTGAATGGCACTTTGCATATGTGTTTGCGAGCATGTCTTTGTGTATTCAAAATTTTGGTTCTTTTTGGTAGTTTGAGGCTTATTTCATGATAATTCATTTCTGAGTCTGCCAATTTATCTCTCTCTCTCTCTCTCTCTCTCTCTCTCTCTCTCCTGCCTGCTTGTCGTAAGATTTATGTATTGCTGTGTAATTTGAATTGAAGAAGGTTCATTCTCTTCAAGATATACCTACGTGAAGTTGTTATTTTAAATCCTTAACACTTTTATAATAAAATTCTGATTTATTTGATTTATCTGGTCTGTTGCGAGTAGTAATTGTGCTCTTGTGCTTTGCTTCTACATGTTACATGTTACAGAGGATTCAGTATAACATTCAGTGTAACAGAGGAGTGGCAGAGTAATGGATGGGAGTGAAATTATTGAAGCACATGGCAGTGTCGCATTGGAGGCGGCACCTTCCCCTCTTTCAATTGTTGCCATTGCTATCAATGGGAATAGAAAGAGCAAATACATTGTTAGATGGGCTCTGGAGAAGTTTGTTCCAGAGGGAAATGTTTTCTTCAAGTTGATACATGTGCGCCCAAGGATTACTGGAGTTCCAACACCAAGTAAGTATAAACATGAGTATAAATTTGAGACATTCATAAACTGGGTTTAGCTCATGAATTCATTCATTTGGTATTCAAATTTATTTTTTTAAATTACTGTTATGTTTACAAATTCTTGTTTTTGTTGTGAGTATAGTGGGAAATCTGATTCCATTGTCACAAGTACGAGAAGACGTAGTAGCTGCATATAGAAAGGAAATTGAGTGGCAGGCAAGTGAGTTGCTTCTTCCATACAAGAAAATGTGTGCTCAAAAGAAGGTACAACTTTCTTATTTGTTGAAGTTTGATATTGAGAAAATCCAAGGTAACAAAAGTGTAAACCTCACTGTTTTGAATGTAGGTGCAAGTAGATGTTGTAGTCATTGAATCAGACGACGTGGCAAATGCAATAGCTGAGGAGATTGCTAAGTCTGCTATAAGCAATCTTGTCTTAGGTGCCCCATCTCGTGGCATGTTTAGAAGGTATTTTGTTGGCATGTAGTTGTTCAAATGGATACTTTGATGACTGTGGTTTGTGTGGGGAAAGGGGATGGAAATTTCCAGAGTTTGGCAGCCTTTTGTATTTTGATTATTTGCATACAAAATCCAATTGCGAGAGGATATAATTTTGGATACAGAATCCCTGCTTGTCATCTGGTAAATCATTTAACAGGTTCTAGATAGGTTCAAATTGAGCTTCCGGTGAACAGAAAGGGTGAACAAAATATTCACGTAGGCATGTGTGCACTTGCACACACACACAAACAAGCACAAAAGAGAGTTTGTGCATGTTGAAAGAGAAATGAAAGAAACCTTTGTCATTTGTCTTATCAATATATTTCTACAGAACATAGAGAACCATCCATGTAATCCTCCTTGTATTTTGTGAAAAATTATTTCTCAAAATTGCCTTGTGGTTGATCATGTTACCAATTTAATGCTCCTAGGAAACAGAAGGGACTGTCCTCAAAAATCTCAGCTTGCAGCCCAAGATTTTGCACCGTATATGCTGTTTCAAAAGGAAAATTGTCATCAGTACGCGCATCTGATTCCGAATCAGTTGCAAGCATTAGAGATGACAATAGTGACACATGTTCTATCAACAGTTCTTCAAGTTATGCGTCCGGCTCACAGACAGGTAATGCACATGACTGAGGTTGAGTGACATCTTGATATCATGTAATGTGCAACATATACATTCTTTAGAGAATGGGGCCTCTTGCAACCATAGCAATAAATGATAATGTACAATATCAATGATGCTAACTATGTAAGCAGCTGAAATATTTAACTCAGTTCTTCTGTTTTCAAGGCACAGATCGTGGCTCGGTTGGTTCATACTCCCATTTCCGTTCTCCTTCCCTTCCAATGCAGCGATTTCAAGCTCTTACAACTATCAACCAGACCCTTCTTAGTACAAAGACAAATTCCAATGAAACCATTCATTCTAGATGCCAATCTCAGGATCTTGGGGAAGGGAAGGATGGTATGAGTTCTTGTCCCAGCAACTCAGATGTTGTGCATACACCGAGTCAGCCCTCTAGTAGTGGAAGCTTCCTAACAGATAATCAGTCATGGACTTCTGATCAAGCGTCCACCTCAGACGTGGTTACAGATTATTCATCTGAGAGCCAGGTAGCACTTTCTGACTTCTTTTGACATGGTTAAATGGTGCTTTCCAATGAATTATGCAGAAAAAATACATATTAGGAATTGCATACATGAGATGTGGTCTATGAATTACATAGTATGTAGCGCTCTTTGATTTCTAAACATCCTTCCTATGCTATTTTTATTCAGTTGAAAGTACTTGCCTGCAGAATTCATGGTCTCATGTGTTTCAAATTGCTGAAAAGTTTATACTTAAACCATCTTAACATGTTAAGTCTATGAGAAGATGATTGAAAAGTGTGGGAGACCTTTCCTCAACCCATACCGCATTTTTTTTGAATTAAAACTCTTAATTATTACATATATGGAAACACGTCCCTTGGTCAGGTCAATAAGGAGTTGTTCAATTTGCACTTCTTGCAGGCAAATATCAACTTGGAGCTAGAAAAGCTGAGAATTGAACTCAGACATGTCAAAGGAATGTATGCAATGGCTCAAAGTGAGACTATTGATGCTTCTAGGAAGGTAGGTATTCTTATCCTTGTTGACAGCAGTAAATACTTTTTGTTTCTTTATTTCCCCATCCAGTTTAGCTTCTGTAATAGTTAGCATGATCTCTTAAGATCTTCGATTCTAATAGTAAGAAATATTTCTCTTTGATAATCAGATAAACAATTTAAATAAACGCCGATCAGAGGAAGCAATAAGGCTCAAGGAGATAAATTCAATGGAGGAGAAAGCCAAAGTATTTGCAACACAAGAGAAGGAGAAGTATGAAGCTGC